CGTTTTATTTATATATTGCCAGGAAAGAGAACTGAGCGGCGCCAAGAAGCTGCAGGGGAAGAATAAACGAGGGCTGTGGTCAATATATTGTCATCCTGCTCAGCATGTTGTCTGAACAAAACAAGCGAGACAAACATAAGTCATCTCAATGCGGTGAGAGAAAATGATAACAAGCGTTTGTGCTGATGAAGTCTTCTTTTGTAAGACACCGAATCCCTATCAGCTAATCAGGTGCTGGCCTTCACACTCCTGAAGTGAAAAGGGCAAAACAAAAAACAAAAACACTGATTTCTACCAGTGGAGTATCATCCTAAAAGTCACGTAAGAACATTTCCAGAATCTGAGTTTTCTCCTCTAGAGTTAACAGGTGTATAAGCAGTTCTATAGCACCTGGCAACACAGCCACATGCAATCACACACCGTATGAGTAAATGGAAAAACCCACAGTGACTCTGAATTCATAAATTCATTCATGAATGTTGCAGAAGCCTTTGTCAGTATTTTATGGTGCAGGAGGTGCTGATTTTTTACAACTAGTCATCTACAGCTCCTACATGTAGTTTTTGATATGTACAGTACGTAAGAGAGCGTTTACAACTTGAAGACGTTGCGTTTATCTAGGTCAGCTGAGCTAGATTTGGAGTTGTCAGCTTTCTGCGCAACTAAATAGGTCATGCTAACGAGTGGGGGGTTTTGACAAGCCTCTCGTACTCCATCAGTTCTCACCACAAAACATTCTCAAGACTGCTGATTCTCTAAAAACACCCTGACTGCTGCTTTAAGCTGTAACGTTGAGTTGTGACGGCGGCGATCACAGTCATTTTTGTTGAACGCTGTGCGGAGCAATAAAAGGGCACGATGTTATGTAACACTGAGGTGATATATGTACTGAGAGCTAAACGCAGCCATGTATTGGAGTATTGGGGAAATCTAAATGTAGAGAAGAATGTGTGGTGATTACAATACGCTGCGCTGTAGACGGAGAACTTCACAACACAATTATTAACCCAGAAAATATAAATATAGATGAGAGTCCAAGGAGATTTTATGAACCCAATGCATCCGTGCAACCAGCTCCATAGTGATACTCTCACATGCCCACATACACAAATCTGGGTGTTGCTAAGTGGCACAGTGGAGGCTTAATTTGAAAATCAAAGTGCAAAGTCTGCAGCTTTTGTCTGCCATGATGCAATAGTGGGCTTCCTGTCCCCAATTTAGGAGCCACAGCTTATAAAAAAGAAAAAAAAAACCCCCATCAGTGGTGGAATTAGTATATATAAACGTGCACAGGACAAGTATTCAGTAAGTGTCAACATGGCTCCTACAAGTATCATCACCGTGACGACCGTCCTCCTCTGCATCATGCTGGGCATACTGAGTTCAGCTCCAGCTGCCCGTAAGCTAATTTCATCACATTTAACTGCTTTGTCAAATGCAATGACAGTAGATCTGATATTGTACTGAACTGTTAATGATGTGTGTGTGTGTTTGTGTGCAGTGGCTGCTCGGAGACCATCCTGTTGTACAAAATACCAGAAGGATCCGCTGCCAGTCCAGGTTTTAAGAGGCTACAGAGAGCAAAACGACACAGATTTCTGCCGCATCAAGGCAATCATGTAAGACTTCCAGCTCCGCCTGCCTTCAATTCAGTTTCTCAGTATCATATCTGAACATGATGGTCACAGCATGTCAGAACGTTTGGGTTGGTGAAAGCTAATGGTTGCATTTTATTCTTTAAAGGAAAAAAAAAAAGTTAAATACTCTGGTAATTATTTTGTGGGAAGCAAAATTGATGTTTCTTTTGAAAAACAAATTTGAACTAGTTTTAGATTTTAACATTTTGCTGTTTGAATTCCAAAACTCTGAACCAGTAGCCGTTTGGTTTGCTATTGGAATCAGTTGTGGTTGCATGTGATTCGTTTTTATTCTGTCGAGTCTTTAAGCCTGACAAAATCCAATCACATTCAAAAACAGCTGGACACTGAACCTCATTACTTTTTGTTTTCTGACTCAAATGTGTCCGTAGCACAACGTATCAAAGAGCGTGAAATTCTGAAAGCATTCATTCCTACTTTTCAGATCAGATTTAAGTTACAAAATCATTTTATTTTGAAATCCTTGGTTGAGTTTTGTTACTACAAAACTATTTACTGATGCATTTAAAAAACCTGGATTTAAAAAAAAGAAAAGAAATAAAATAAAAATAAAATAATAAATTACTATTTTTCCACAAAACTTGTTGAAGTTACTCAAAATTAGTTAACAGTTTAGTGTCAGTACTGAAACTGACGTTATCAAAGAGGAGATATGATTAGATAAGATAATTCTTGTGCTACATATTGCTCAGAAAAAGAAAAAAAAAAGATTCTTTTTGCATTCCTGATAACGTTTCTCTCTATTACAGTTTCTTCACAGACAGTAAGGCGAAGGTTTGTGCCAATCCGAAGGCTGAGTGGGTGAAGAAAGCTCTGGAATACCTCAGGTATGAGATTTGACTCCCTTTAAACACCAGCTAGCTTCAGTTCAGACATGGACCTTAAATCAGGGCAAGACTTTTTTATTTATGAATGAACAGGGGTTTGTATTGTGGGCCTTGTGAGTAAAAACAACTTTTTGTTGTTTTTTAAAGTACAAGACTGAAGAATCTGTCCAAACCCAGCCCAGCTGCAGGTGGACCTCCACAGGTTCCACGTGAAGAGCCCTCATCTCCTGATGAAAAGGATTCTTTCTACACCGCAACCGAGTCCTTCCTCAACGACACAGACAGCTTTAATTAGCTAAACCCCGGCTATTGCAGAAATGTCGGTTTGATGGAATGTTTGAGGATATTATCTTTCAGCACGAGATGTCGCTCGTTACTTCTGCAGCTTTGACCCTAATGCTCCATTATGAAGGCTTTATAGGAACCAGAGGGGAACAGGTTCAAGAAAAGTGATGCAGATTACTGGCTCTGTCACTTAAAGAATGTTTATAACGATCTCTAAAATGATCTACAATGAATAATCTCTACTTTTTAAATCTTGTTTTTGCACTTACGCTGTTTTATTTCCTGCTATGGATCTACTACTTAATCAAGTTAATGTGCTGAAATATAGACATTATCATAATTCTCATAAATAAATGGACTCCAACACTGTCGTCCACATTTATTTAATCAAACTACAACACTCGAATGTGTCACGCAACGTTCACCGAAAGTAAATAATAAGTGATTTCAAAGCAATTAGCACTTGTAATTTATCTTCTACATAACGACCTGACTGTAGGACGGAGACCCCCTTACATCACTGAAGGATACATTAAGGTTGACAACTAGTGCAAAACAAGTAGACCGCTGCTCCAGATGGTGTATATTTTAGTGGCACGATATGCGTGTCCATACTTAGAAAAGGATGCAGGCAGCATATCTGCTGGAAGGTGTCTGGAAATGTTTCGATGAGCTGCTCTGACCTCTGAGCTCATGCAAATGCATGACATGAGTGACAGGGAGGCAGTTTCTTGCGCTATTTCAGAATAACACCCCAAGGGGTTGGTGGCCCGGTCAGACAAGGTGACTCCCTCACTGACAAAACTCCTTTAATGCAAAGTGCACTGCAGTCATTATATGCACCCACTAGATGGCAGAATTAATCTGTGAAAGAGCTGACTTTTGACTTTTGTGAGATGCAATTATAAACAAACACTTATTTTAACTAATCACACACCAACAGTTGCTGTAGCTGTTCTTGTCTATATTGAAAGCGGCATTGAAACACGCACAGCTTGCATTTGAAAATAGTTTGTGAACCTTTAGTCTAACGATAGCAACTAAAGATAATTAGAGTCTGGGGACCGAAATAATGAAACAAAGACTGGACATGCGGTTTAGCGAAAAGTCTGACGTATAAAAAATAATATTGCTGTTCTCAAGATGCATCTCCTGGTTTGATCCATGCTCACAAAAAAAAAGACTCCGAAGATTTATGACCAAGAATTGTTGATTTGCATAAAGATCACAGAGTAATCTCAAAGAGTTTAGATATTCATCAGTTCCCACTTAGAGAAACTGTGTATTAACGGAGGTGATTTACTCCTGTGGTTACTTTCCTGAGAAGCGGGCGCCCAGCTAAGATGACTCCCTTCGGCACAGTGCAGAGTTCTCAGTGAGGTGAAAAAAATCAATACATAAAGCCAGAGGCCGAAAAGAATCATTGGAGTTGGTTAACATCTTTGCTCCAGAGTCTGCCCTACACAAATCACGGCGCACTGCTGCATGCACACGACGGTTCGTCCAGGAGCACAGAATGAGCGGTGGCTGAAAAATATGAATGAAATGAATAAATGAATGAAAAATAATGCTGTAAAGGTGAAGCAGGAAGAAGAGAGCAACTGTGTGCTGTGTGGTCTAAACAGGTTGTCATAATTAGTAGGAAAGTGATTTCTCAAGTTTATCAAATTATCTTTCAGGATCATTTCAGGACAACTATCTGCCACCTGAAGCTCAGTAGAAGCCGTGTGATGCAGCAAGACAATGACCTTCAACACTGAAGTGAATCTCCTGAGGACTTCAGAGAGAGAGATCTGACCTTTAGGAGCAGCCCAGTCAGCACTCAGAGCTTAACCCCTCAAGCATTTGGCTAGTTTTTGGAAATTTCCACCTGAAAAAACATCCTCAGATTTAGTTAGTGACAGCTGCAAAAAAAATGTGAGACCAGAATAAATAAATTCAAGCTGTGTCGATAACAGATACTTGAAATACAATATGTCTTCTTATGCTTATCACAAGAGTAAAGTGAGATAAGAAAAACTGCAGCAAAAATCAATATTGTCATTCCACCTTAACCAAATAAGAGAGTAAATGGTAACAAGTTGTCACCTGCAACTCTACCAGAACTGATGTAGCAGAAATAAAGCACAACAATTTTTTAAATATGATTTTCAAAAAATAAAAGTACACAGCCCGGTCTCGGTACAAAGACCTGTAGAAACAACCAATGCTGTGGAATGACCTCAGGAGAGCCGCCTACATCCTCAGAATACGGCTGAGCTGAGGCAGTTCTGCACAAAACAACTCAAATTCCTTCCAGAGATTCATTTACTTGTTCTGTCATCACTGTAAATGTTCAATGTATCATAGAAAAAGGCACATTTGTTTAGGCACATTTTGTTTGTATGTATTTGAAGAGTTCATTTGTAAAAACAGACAACTTTATCTTCACAAACCTTCAGAAAACCCGCTTTTCCATCGTCTACCTGAGACAATATCAAACAAACTTAAGTTATCTCTATTTTTGTCATGTCATTTCTACTGGGTCAAACCCACTCAACTTCAGTTTGATTGATATTATCTCGAGCAAACAACAAAAGAAATATGTTTTCTGAGTTATCTGTTTTTGCAAATGAACTCTTCATTTGTAACTTAGATGAAGTTTAGATGACATTTTTTTGACATACTAATGCAGAAAACCGGGTTTGCATTTCAATATACACCAACAACAACGACAAGTGTGGATAGATGACAAAATATTTATTTAAATTACTGCAAAACAAGACAATCTTCATTTTTATACCTTCAGTTTCTGTTGAGCCTTGTTTCACAAAGAGCATGGGAATAAAATTACAAAGAAAATGGTCCAACAAACAAATAAATACTGCCAATATTAAATATTAAATATTAATAAAATTAGAGGACTTTGTTTAAATTATTTGAAGATATCAGTCTGTAGGTATTTAGGAGGAGAAGGAGGAGGGCTTCCTATGGACTGGAGGTTGAAGGGGCAACAGTCGTCCTCTTTGCTTTGCGGGCCTGCCTGTAAAACACACCAACAGTAGATGGTTAAAATAACAGTAGTTTGTGCTATTCCTCAACAACACAACACAAAACTCCAATAATTACTCCATTCTGGACACTGACTGATATGACAGCTACTCACTCTAGCTCCTTGATCTTCTCAAACACCCAGTCCTGTCTCCAGTGGCTGCACACTTCTCCCTCTGAGGTCTCAAATCTGGGTAGAGAAAAGACACAAAGTAAGAACTTGTATTTAAACGGTAGAACAACTGTGACTGTATTAAGGTTTTGAACACCACTCTGTGCCATAAAATGAGGAGCTGATGCTTACATGACAGCGCGGACACATGGCAGGTTCCTCCTCTGGATCCTGTAGCCGATGATGGGAGCGGTGATGTTCGTGACGCTGACCTCAGTGCAGCACTTTGATATCTTCATTTCTGTTTTTCAGGAAACAAAACAACAGAAATCGTTACATTTCATTCAACATTTAATCAAATCAAATGGTCACACCGAGCTACAGATTCTGCCTACTTGGTGCGTCAGAGCTGTGAAACTTACCGGAGGCTGTCGCTGCCATCACCAGAACCCCGGCGAGGAGGGCCAGACATGCCAGTCTTCTGATACACAGCTGCATGGTTTCTGTGTGAGATGTTCCAGAGGTTCCTTTGCAGAAGCTGACTGTGTGATCTGGCAGATGGAGGCGAATGATCTCCTCTGACCAGACCTCCAGCTTTTATCCGATGAAAAGAGGAACCAGGAAAAACTGACCGGACGAATTGTGTCTCTGGGTTTTCGACAGAGTGTGCGTATCAGGGTGGGGGAAAGGATGTACTCGGGTGACGCTACAGACGCTCATTTCCTTTTTTTTTCGGAATTTCATCATGGCATTGGCAAACACTGAGGCCACTGCGTCGCTGTTCTCAAGAACGCTCTTCTATGACGTTTTCCCAGCATTATATTCCATCTCAAACGGTCAGGGTCTTCCTGCTTGACCTTCTCTGAACATTTGCTTTTATATCTATTAACTCTGACTATTTGAGAAATGTGCTCACATGTAATTCAGAAAACACCATCAGTTCACTTTTGCATTCTCAGTTCATGTGTGCTCCAAGACGGGGCTTTTTCATGGTTGCTTTAAAGTTTTCTTCAAATTTCAACTCAGCTATTATTTACAGATTATTTGCTGTACCTGTCTAATATTACTGATTTTAAATCATTGGCCTGATCAGAAATAACAGTGAACATTTCAGACTTTCAGGTCCTGAGATCCTGTGATTCAAACACAGCTTCCAAAAAAACGTGCTGAAAGTGGGTTGATGAAAAATTTAAAAATCTATTCCTTTATATATATCTCAAAAAGTATTTGATATATTAAGCTAGAATTTCACAAGTAGCTTTACTTGTAAAAACAATTCAGGCAAATCAGAGATAGTCGAGTAAAATTGTTGCGGTGATGCTAAAATGTGATGATTTGAGATGGAATGATCCAAAAGGAAAGTAACAATTGAATGGAGATGCTTAAAACATATTCACAAAGTAATGCACCTGCTGTACTCATATACTGGTAGCCTTTGTTTAGTATTCTTAGATTTATTTTAATCATATTCTGTGTAAAGACATGACAAGTGTACAAACTGACTGCATGTGTTTCTGTGTGTTGTGGTTGCTGGGATATACTCCACCCTTAAACAGAATAACCAGGAAAAGAGAGCAGATAAACTGGATTGATGGGTCTTCATGTTATAATGACAGCAAAGTTCTTCTCTAACCCGACTAGTAAACCATATATAAGCTCTGTCTGACCATTAAACATTAAAATGTTTGCATCTAAACCCTGCTGACTTCAGCAATAATGTACATGAAGCATCATGTGCTGGTCACTTTGCCCAGTGTGTCATCCATCTCTCACTTTCTATCCGCCCTCTTTGGTCATGCTCCTTACCAAGTGGCAGAAAAGGGGAAGGAAGGAGATCCCAAGGCCTTCCGCCGCAAACCACACATTTCCGAGCATCCTCCAGCCAAATTTGGTCATTTGTCCCTGCATGTACGGTCACTGCAGCTGCAAGTCTCGACATGTTCATGGAGACTATTTGGATTTAGCTAAAAAAGAAAGCAAAAAAAAAACTAAGTAGAAATGCATATCTTCATACAATAAATACTTTTTTTATTATATTTTCATACAAAACTGCAAAAAAAAAGGCAAGAATGTGGGTTTTTGCAGTTATTTCCCAGAAGACACAAACTAGTTAAAACAAACGACTGCGTTAAATCATTCATACATTTTACAAGTTTTGCTTTATTTGAGCACAATTTATTAGAAATTGTTCTTCTTAAACTAACCTGTCCTTCAGAGGAAGTTAGAGTT